TAACCATATATATGTACATACATGGTAGCTATCAGCAAGAAATTAAAAAACTTATTATTAGATTTTTTCCTAAAAATTGACAGGAAAGGAATTTCTTTTTGCTGCAAATACAATTATTATTTATATTCAGTGGATATTAAGAAAGGAGTCAAACAAGGATGCACACTAAAGACAGGAAAATTGTAAGGATAGATGTACAGGGTTAAAAGATCAGTATGCTTACATTTGCAGTATTATTATTATTAAAAGAATAGGAGGCGAAAAATTAGAAGAAGTAGCTGTTTTTCGGTGTCTAGGAACTCAGATAATTTAGGATTGAAGGAGCAGTAGGGATGTAAAATAGACGATAGTACAGGATCGAGTCGCTTTCAATAAAAAGAAGTCACTTCTATGCTCGCGAACGATTAATTTAGAAATTCGAAAAAGATTGTTTGGAGCGTGGCGCTGTACGGGTGCGAAACATAGACGGTGGGCGCAGCGGAAAAGAAAAGGTTAGAAGCGTTCGAAATGTGGTGTTACGTGCAAATGATGAGGATACCGTGGATAGAGAAGGTTAGAAATGAAGAGGTATTAGAAAGAATAGGAGAACAGAGGACTACGGAAGTCATTAAGAAATAGGCGAGATAGCTTGGCAGGACACCTTCTCAGGCATGAAAGGCTGATTAGACATATTACAAGCAGAAATAGGAGTTAAGAGGAGTAGAGGTAGACCTAGATTACATTACTGTTCATAAATAGTTAAGGATGGGGATGTTCTAGTTTTAGGGAAATGCGAAGATTAACTCAAGATTGGAAAAAGTGGAAGTGCGTGTCGAACCAATCTGACCTTACTGACGACCGACGACCTCATAATGACGATGATTTAGTAGATTAAATAAATTATGGATTTAGCTGTTAACTCTATAAATGGAACATTTTAATTAAGAACCAATAAACTCAATTTTATGGAACACATCAAGAGTTTTATTGTGTTAGTTACTTTAGGAGATTATTTATATCTCAACTTTTTCCATCGCTTTTTCACTTACAAATGTTACTTCTGCAACAGGTCCTGTGACGTCAGCTATTCCTACACCTACTCTGTAAGGATCGACAAACCCACACGTACAAAAAATGCCCAGAAACAATAATGAACAACTTCTACTAAATGCCATTGTTGCTAATCTGAAAATAAAAGAAAAGAAAACAAAATATTACGCTGCAAACTGTCACTTATTAAATTGAATTCAAATTTGTATTAAAAACGAAATGGCAATTTTCTTTCGACACTGTATACCGTCTAAGATTCTTGAAACTTTTCCACAAAAACTCTGAAAACTTTTAACCTACAATAGATACAGTTAGTTAATGACCTTCTAAAGATTGACATTGTGCGTATATACTTTTGTTAAATACATTCACATAATTAAAGTAAACACTATTCACATCCATGTAAATAATAACCTTGTTGAAGGCAAATGTGATTTGTATGAGATTGTAAATCAGCGATGACTTCTAAATAACAAGAGCTAAATTAAGTAATATCTTACGTACAAATGCATATCATAGTATTCATATATACGAAAAACAGATTAGAAAGCGTTTTTGTAAAGGAAATTTTAATTTATCCCATAAAAGAGATTCATTTTTTAAATGTCAAATACTTTGACGCATTTCAAAGTAACGCAATATTGAAAAATTGGTTTGTTGACACCATTTATTGAAGAGGAATCGAGAGAAATCAACTTTCACCGTTAATAACATAATAAATTATTAAAACTAATATTTTATTCTTAAAACTAAAAGGTTTTTTAATGTGTTCCCTTTAAATGATTAATGCAGATCAAAGCCAAAAGTGTAAATAATTTGATGTTAAAAAAGCAACTACTTTTTAAGTCTAGTTGGGAGGCTTTTGAAATATTGAGTGAAAACAACAAACAATTATCGAAACATTGTCAATTGATAATTAAAATAGATACTTTTAATATGACATATAGTTGCCCAATGGCATATAGTTGCTGAAATTATAGATTTTTAATTCCATCGTAAGTTAATTGGTTACATCATAAGGTCATGATTTGTTATTTCGAAAAAATATCTATCACAGAAATCAGATTTTACAATTTCACATCTACGTCTCTGCAACGCTCTTGAGCAACAACGCGATTAAGATAGACGTTGGTTTAAATATTTATGAGAAACCTGCATTCTTTATAAATCGGTTATTTAGAATACGCATAGCGAAAAAGAAAGTTTCATACATAACTACTTCCTGGTTTATATTTTGATTTAATTCCAACAAGTTTCTTCATCATCAATTGTGTAGGATGGGGGGCTATACAAGAGTTACGTGACATTGCAACTGGTATTTACTGAGCTTTGAAAGGTGATAATTATGTAAAAAAGTACCGAGAATCTCATGGTACTAACCATTTTTGAGTACGGTGTCAAATAGATACTTTCCGGCATCAATCTTTGGTAAAATGTGTAAAATTACTAACATAAAAAAGCGCTCGTAAAATTATTCGGATGTGGAAGGTATCTACTGAGGTATGAGAGGTGATAATTATGTAAAACAGTACGGAGAATATCATGGTACTAACCGTTTTTGAGTGCGGTGTCAAATAGATACTTTCCGGCATCAATCTTTGGTAAAATGTGTAAAATTTCTAACATAAAAAAGCGCTCGTAAAATTATTCGGATGTGGAAGGTATCTACTGAGGTATGAGAGGTGATAATTATGTAAAACAGTACGGAGAATATCATGGTACTAACCGTTTTTGAGTGCGGTGTCAAATAGATACTTTCCGGCATCAATCTTTAGTAAAATGTGTAAAATTACTAACATAAAAAAGCGCTCGTGAAATTATTCGGAAGTGGAAGGCATTCAGTTAGTTTTGAGAGGTGATAATTATGTAAAAAAGTACGTAGAATCTCATGGCACCAACCGTTTTCGAGTGCGGTGTCAAATAGATACTTTCTGGCATTAGTGTTTGGTAAGTTGTGTAAAATAATTAAACATAAAAAAGCGCTCGTGAAATTTTTGAGAGGTAGAAGGTATTTACTAAGCTTTGATGATGTAAAGATGTACGTAGAATCTCATTATGCCAAGGGTTTTCGAGTGCGTTATTAAAAAGGTACTTTCCGGAATGATTTTCTCTGAAGTATATAAAATAATTTAAACATAAACGAGAGCTCGTGACATTACTAGGAGTTGGAGGGTATTTACCTACCCTCAAATAAAATCACGTATGCACAGCTGCTACTTTGTTTTAACTTTATTCATTTAAGGTCCTCCCCTTTAACGTATCCCTTTCACTTCACGCACGAGTTCAGTCTTTTTAGCCGACCTTGCGTACTTTCAATTTGTCTCGCATACTTGTTTTACAAGTGAACCATCTTTCTAATCAAAAAGGGAAGCGTTTTGACATTTTTTTTACATGGTCAAATAATAGTGCGACCAAGGAGCGTATGACATTGACCAAAATAATTCATACGTAAATAAATTAACTCAAGATTAAACTAGATTCCAGTAACGCATATAAAACAGTTTTTGTTTGTCATAAATAATTCATAATTTTTACATTTGAATATGTACCGGAACAGGAAATAAAACTTGAAAATCATTTGCCTAGTAAACCTACAATTAACACATTTTAGCAAACGAGGATTATTTTTTTAATTAACGCATGTAATAGTTCATGTTAAACTGTAAATATGATTATGAAACATATTTTTTAGTAAAAAAGGCGAATCCAATCTAGCGTTTGCAAATATTTTAATTGGGTGCGACAAAATTTGTACATAATATCTTTTAACTAACTTAACAGTTTGCCTACTATTAATTACTAAGTAAACTAATTACAGGCAGTCAATAAATGTAAAATTAATATTAAGAAGTGAGAATGTATTCAAAATAACAAATTGGTGGTAGATTCCATGTGTTTACATATAATTATCATGATGACTCAATTGTTATGTACTTAGAATTGTTTTCTTCCAAGAAATTAACATAAAAAGGTCTGTCACCAACGAATATAGTGCAAACTGTATTCGAAAGAAAACACTATCAATGTTTTTTAAGATTAAATTAAGAATCCCTGAACCTTGGATGCTGTTTTGATAATCAACAAATTTTAATAAACATGAATTCAATTTAGTGATCTCTTAATTTAATTAAAAATAAAATAAAATTCTCGCAATAATTCTTCTTTTTTTTTAATGTTTCTTCAATTCCGATAATTGTTCGATATAAAAGAAAACAAAAATGTATTAATACAATCATTTATATTGTATACGCATTAGTTACAACTGTTTATCTAGAAAAGGGTTGAATTTATAAAAATATCTCTAGGAACAATTGGATGGCCAGATTAATTCCTTACAAACAGATCAAAATTAGAGCTACTTTAATTGAATGAAGCTATAATTGTTCATATATTACCCTTAAGTTAAGAAAAGTGACCTGTTAAAGTTCGATGAGATTTTTAGATTAAAAATGCATCTTTAGGGATACAACAAAAAAGCATTTTCTTACCTCTCTTTTTTAATTTTAAACACAAAAAGAGCGCATCACAGTTGAGCAAAAATCAACGCACTATTTTACTCATGATTGAGTACTGGACGTACTCTAGTAAGTATTTGATAAAAAGTAAAATAATTTATTTCAAATTAATCACTTATGTATACAGCAACGTAAACCAGAACAAAAAAAAAGATAGAACTGGATATTAATCAACTGTTAGAATAATACAACTTAGTAATGTAGACAACACATTAAGAATTAGGTTTATTACTGTAACACTTGGTCAACTTTTTCGTGTTGTTGTTTACAGAACCAATGCGCGAAGATAACTGACTGCTGAGAACCGTGTAAAAAAATGATTAAACTTCTTAATGGTCAGTATGTATGTAATGTGGGTACATTGTGAAGTCCACTCCCAGGAAATAAAATGAATTGTTTGTATCCTTCAAAAAGCCACTTGGAAATGCAGCACTTGATGCAGACGATGGAATAACATGGAAAGGTAACATTATCCGAACCATTTAAAGGCCAGACAATGGGTGTCTGCTAGCGATAATAATTTATTAGTAATCTCTGCGATAAATGAGACGTTGACCAGCGCCTACCGTTCATTATTCTCCTAAATTTATTTGTTTAGTACAACAATATGTGTTTGCTTTTGTTTTTAACGAACGAATAAATCACTGAAGTCTTATTATCTTTTACTACTAGTTATTCTAATTAAAAGCTTTTTAAGAAGAATTTATATGGTCGAATTCGATACTTTACTTGTCACACTTGCGACAAAATACTCATTTCAGTTTTATTTTTTGTTAGTCTAGGGTGGAAGTAATTAAAATATGTTGAATCAATTCAAATACCCTCGAATCTAGTTTTATTAAACCCTATTTCAATTCAATGTTCTTTTTATAAAAACATCTACGCTAATTATACTCCTCTGGAATCGAAATTAATATTACTTTTTATTAGGTACTACTTGTACCTTTAAGAGTTATGGTTGACTAAATAATATCTTATGANCTTCAAAACTGCTTACCAGGCTATATTTTGTTTAGTTAGTATATAACTACGTACTTGGCAATACCTGTTTTTGTACGTGTAATTTTTGTCTTTTAGGGAAAGGAGGTAAAAACAGGAGAAGAGGAAAGAACGAAAATGAAACAGAAAAACGTGAATTAGTTTTTAAAGAAGATGGACAAGAGTATGCTCAAGTAACAAAGATGCTGGGTAATGGCAGATTAGAAGCAATGTGTTTTGATGGTGTCAAAAGATTGTGCCATATTAGAGGGAAATTGAGAAAAAAGGTTTGTGACTGATTATAACTTAGTTAAATAAAACTTTATTTATATAAATATTGCAATCACTGTTTCTATAATTGCCTGAAATAGTTTAGGTAAATATATCTGTACTAGTAGATGATGTCATGATAGTCGTTAGTTAGCAAAGAACAGCTGTTTACTTAAAAAAATAATTTACCCAAACCATACTGCCACTTGTGAATTTCCAGTCATGAAGGGAAACATCAGATAAACCACTTAAATCACTAAAGTGACTGATAGTTGAGGCATTGTCATCATCTTCTTGACTCGGATTACAAGATGATAGATTTAGATTGTCTGATTCTGATGCAAATCCTGAAAGAGCGTCGGGGATTTCCGAGTGAGATAGTGGTGAAACTTGATGAGTAGGGGTGGGTAATGATTCCAATGTTGAAGCTTCATAGCCTGAGTCACAATCAGCTAATATACCTATAATAATGTTATGTTTCTGCACTATGAATAAAATAATTAAAAAACATAAAATTCTGTTAACTGTTTAACGAATTATTTAAAAAAAATAGCTTTGGATATGTTATACGCTGCCACTGGTTGTGATTCTCCTGTGATATAACCTCACATCTGAGTCCATTACTATCCTATTGAAGTAATGTTTACATTTGGTTTACTGTTAAATATCTTAATAAATATGATATAATTTTGCTTGTTAGTCTTGGCTGATCATAATGACGATTTATTGTTGTGTAACAAGGTGTAGGGTTACTTCGGATAGTGGAGCCCAACTGTTTCAAATACCCAAGTCTGAAGAGCGACCCCTTACTAGAGAACGTTGGCTAAAAAAATTGAATATGGTAGAACCTGTGCCAGAATTGTTATTTCTTTGTGAGGTAAGAAATAAATTTGATTAATCGCCCTAGAATTGATAAATTAGTCTGAAGTACGTATTTTTAGAAACATTATACAATTATGCATGATGAAAGTCAAGAGGAACCAGATTTTAAAAGTGGTTTTCCTTGGGATCCTGTAACCGTAAAAATTGATAAAGAAGAAAATAATCTTCAAATGAAAAGTGATGAAGGTAATCTGGAACTGAGTAAGTAAAATGTTTTATAATGTTACTTTTTAAAACTCCAGTCATTACTATGCATTGACAGATTTAAAAACGTTTGTAATATATCCGAATAAAGACAAATCTGAAGAAAATAATGATGTATATGAAATTCTTGCAAACTTACAGTCTACAGAAACATCAAGTCATAGTAGCATTGCAACAGAAGGTAAGTGAAAAGATATCATTGATATTATCACATAGTGATTACCACATTACAGATTTAGGACAGTCACCAATTGAAGCCCCTGTTACTCACTGTGATATAGTCTTTACAAATCCTTTTTTGGAATCAAATACCACGATCGAACTGGAATCTTCTGAGAATGAAGATGTAGAAACCAATAAAATCCAATGCGTTAAAGTTGTTCCGATAAAAAGTAGTTAATGTGTTTTATTTATTTCTTATTTGTCACTAAGTAACAAAATTTTCAGATTTGCAGGAAAAAAAGAACAACAAAACTGCATTGTCAAAAGTAAAACGTAAGAAAAAAAGGAAACAACCAAATGCAAACCATAGTGAGTTTTGTTGTCTTTTATTTGGTTTTATGTTAGATTTTTATTACTTTATTTGCAGAGAACATAATTAAAGGCATAATGAATAATTTAAAGAAAACTATAAAAAGGCCTTCACTACCAAAAAAACCGGCTAACGCTCTACCCATTGTAACAATTACTGTTGACTCCTCTGAGGATGAGATTCATGAAATAAAACAATTAAAAAACTCTACAACAGATGGTAAAAAAGTCTCTTTTGTAACTGTAATGATAATTTGTTTTATTTTAGGAGAATGTAACTCCCCACCGGATGTTGCACAGGGAAGTGAACAAAACAAAAGTTCTGAGGTGTTAATGCTGGAAGAAAAATTACGAAAGGCAAGAAAAAGAGTCTCTGAAGTAAACCAGGAACTTCACATGATGGAACGAAACTTAAGGTACATCTTTGAATCTGATCAAATTCGCCGATTGAAGGAGGAATACAAGAAAAGTTTTAAATGGAAAGCTAGAACATTAAAGAAAGCGTTGCAATTGTACTTTATCTGTGGCGAGTCAGGGTATAAGTTGTTATTAAACCAAAATTATCCCCTGCCTAGTATCAGTGTGTTGAGAAGGGTAATTTTTGATTACAAAGTCGGTTCTGGAGTAGTTGGGACAAGCCCACAAGTACCAAGTGTAAAGTGTGTGAAGGATGTTGTTGACGAGTTAATTACTAATCAAATGCAGAAGTGAATTCACTTTTGGTTTGATGTTTTACTTCTTTTAGAAGAAATATAAGATAGATTACTGTTTAAGTACGCCATTGCTTTTTTTTATGTAATTATAACTACACTTAGCACATTATAATTCTCACGAAAAAGTGAAATATGTATTTTAGAACTTATTAGAATCGCAAAATATGATTTGAAATGATTTGCTTTGCTGTACTACATATGTATCGTTTTTCCTGTAAATGTTGATTGAATAAAACAAATTTTGTATTAAACTGAAGAATTATTTTAATAATAAACAAAATTAAAAACTGACAGGACATAAAAATAGAAAACATATCATCAACAACTCTAAATGCAAAGATAAATTATTATTATTATTATTATGGAGACGGTCAATTCGTTATATCAAAAAAAAAAGAAAAAAAAGGAACTTACAATCTAGTATAATAAATAAACGTACAAAAATAAAATTTTATATTACAACAAAATCTAAAATGACCCTCGAGAAAAAAAGGATCAGCCACATTTCCATTATAATACTTTTTGTTTTTTTTAATTAGTTATCAATTATTCCTTGCATGAAGTTTTCATTATTAAAGTGGAAAAACAGCAACACAAAAACAAAAAAAACGTTTCTGGTGACGTGAAAAAATAAAGATCTCTATTTAACTTTTACATGATTAGTTTGTTTTGTAACTTTTTCTTTAGAATGTCCAATACAGGTATATATGCATATATGTATGTAACTTAGTGTCCGATGTCTGTAAATAATGGTCGTTATGAATCGACCATCCTCAGATTCACACTCAGATAAATTGAAAGTTCTGAACGTTTCACATCCATCCTGTTAATTGACTTTCATGAAAAAAAAATGAAGAATCATAAAATATATTTTGACGACACAAAAGGCAATATACTTGACTTATATGTAACATCAGGATGGAAAAAAGATTGTATAAGTTTGGAGTAGAAGTACTGACAGATTATAATGAATTTTTTCCTTTTTAAAAGCCAATTAACTTAGTGAACTAACGTCTTCAGAACTTTATCATACTGATAGTAACAATTCATCCTAAAATTTTAAATGGAATATCCTACAGGAGGCAATTAGCTATGCTCATCGCCTTTCTACATCCTAACTAATTGTAAAGCACAGTATATGTTATCTATGAAATATTTTTGTATCACCCAAGTCTTCAATTAAATGCATGTTTGCTTCATAATACACGTAGGGCCAAGAAAAAAATTATTCTAGGATAAAAAACGGTTTTTATAAAAGAGAGGTAGATAAGAGGTCGTTTACAAACATCGGGGGCACCATTTTTGTGTAATTCTTAAACACTATACAAATAACAAAGATTTATCATATTCCTATTCAACGTAATTTTTTTGGCTTAAAATTACACCCTATGAAATAATAGCAATAATATTTATACACCATACAAACTTGCGGAGGGGGAAAACAAATTTACATTATTAATTAGAAATTCCGCAAAATAACAGCCTACTAATATAAAAGAAATAACATAATAACAACAATCTCTCCACATTTAGGTATTAAATATGTGCAGCTTACATCCAATTCTCTGGCATTGTATTATTCTTTATTTTATTTATTTATAAATATTTTCGTTAAACCATACGTCAGTAATAAAGCTACGAAAATAAATTATAAAAATATTTGACGATAGAAATTAATGTTCAATGTCCCAATTTTTTTTAGATTCCATCGAGTAAGCTTTTAAGCGGTCTACAGGATTAATTAGAAACGCAAATAAGATCCAAACTGCACACAATTCTTACATAAAACAATATTTTATACATGTACAGAGTAGGTAAAAAAAATGTCTTCAGTACTATGTAAAGCTAACAAATTAATAAATAGGCTACACACATTTTTTGGACTATTATTATTTATTATTAGAACAATGTTTTTTTTATTTGATTTTTATTTAAATTTCATGTAAGTTAAGTAGTAATTGGAAGAATTTATGTACAAACGGGAAAAAGTTCATGATTTCTTATTTTTATTTATATTTTATTTATATGTTCAGAAATATTATAATGAACGTGCATATTTTCAGTCTTATCAAAAACAATCATCATTAAATACAGCAAAAACTCGGCAAAGTACAAAAATTAATAAAGGCAAACAACCTAATCAATTTCCTTAAATAGCACCTGCTACAATAATATTGGAATTTAATTATTACGCGTATCTTGAGATCAATAAAATAAAATTATACTTTTAAATAACTTTAATAGATTCATTATTTTCAAATAAGAAAAAAAAAATAATAATTCTATATCCCCTAAATAAAGTATAACATTCATATAATTTAGTCGATAATGTAATGATAAATTGATGCTATTTAAGAAACTCAATTTATTTTACTTTAATTAAATCTCTTTGTTAATTAGAGATAATGTAGCATCAGATTTTTTAAAGTTTAGAGTTCCGATCAATTAAGGGGGAACCATAGGTAGTGATTTATTTTAACAGTTAGCCATTTGATATTTAAAAAAATCCCTTTATAATGGAAAGGAAAACCTTCTAAGTATTTTAATAATCTTTAATTCTACAATAATTTTATAAGATAAAAGAGAAATTGAAATACCTTTACCACTTGATGCTACAAAATCGTACAACCATTTCTGCCGATTGGTAACGCGCCCCCATTTCATATGCCTTCCAATTTCCATTTACTTTCTTCACCAAAAAAAGCCCTCCATCTTCGTTACCCTCAATTCCCAACATATTAGCGCGCAATTTTCAAGAAAATATTGTGAGAGTAAGTGTATTTATAACTTCAACGATACATGTGTATAAATTATGTATGTATGCTTGTAGTGTTTGTTGTGTTTATGTTGATATATGCATGTGTGTATGCCAATATATTTTTTTATATTCTTTAATTTTCGTCAGTTTCTTCGGAATCACTAGATTCTGAACTGGACGAGTCGTCGAAGTAGTCGTATTTTTCGTCGGGGTCGTAATAGACCTCGGCACCAGGAAATATATACCTACAGGGAGGGATCATGTAATACGTTCCTTCGGGTAACCTGTCCACGAGACTGTGTTTGACCTTTGGTTGCCAATAATCGCGCAGGTCGGCGGGATTCGTGGGCGGGGGTGGCGGAGGAGGTGGATCTTCAGAACAACTCTTTGACGATGACGTCCTCTCGTCATTAATAAGGTCCCAGTGATGACTGCCAACGTCTACCAAAAAACACATATTAGTCTGGATAGAAAATAGTATATATGGTTACCCAATAAGTTAACAAAAAATTATTTCTGGCTTAAATATTATATATAAAAAAAATTATGAGTGCCGTGAGCACAGGGCAAGGTAGTATCAGTAAATTCTTATGCTGAAATGTACGATGTGTTGCATACCTATTTACAAAAAATTCCTTTAAATTTAATTTTTCAAACAATTTTTAACACAAGGAAAGTGATTAAACAAATTGTTCATAAAAGTGAATTTCGACCACTCGAAGCAATGGTGCTAAAAATTTCTAGCTCACAGTGACTGATAGGGTTATACTTAAAAAAAAAATGTAGTTATGTTGTACATACCAGATGGGGTCGCTGCGGGTATATCCATCCTCGTACTATCATTCGTTTCATCAGACGTGTCATACTTGAAACCCTCGCTGTCTGTAAAATTCGAATTTTCCCCTATACCGGAGTCTTGGGCGGAATCAACTGAAATATGCCTCTGTTTAAACTGTTTGGCTTCAACAATCTCTCGTTCAAGTAGAAGAAGTTTTTCTTTGGACGATGTCGTGTCCAATTCATTGAACTCGTTTACTTCTTGTTTAAACCAGGAACTTTGTTTTGTAGTTAATGTAAACTTGCAACTGCAATTGCGCTCTCGTACGGTGACACTTCGACATTCGCATGTCACTTCTTCTGAAGACATTTCGAGACCACGTACTGTTGTTGAGGACGAATCGTCTTTGACGACCGCGTCCGGTGATGACGAGACGTCTGACTCGTTTGTATCTTTGCATTTCTTCTCGTTCAGAGGCAACAACTGCAAAGTTTCTTCGAGAGCGGTTTCGTCGTAAACACCTTCTTCCCAAGCACTTCCTAATCTGTTAAAGAAAGAAAATATAAAACTAAACATTAAGAATTTTAAATTGGAAAATAGACTAAATAGACTAGTTTCACTCACAATTGACAAAGATGATTGACTATTCCGTCACAATCTCCAAGAAGTTCCACGTCGAAATGACAGTGGGGTAACGGTTCCCTATTGATAAGAATTTGGGGGACGTGAGCGGGTAATGAGTTTGGTATGAGGGCAACCGGTCGTACTTTCAACGAGCTGCCGATGACCAGTAACAGATCGCATTCGTTCTTGTCTCCGGCCATGGCTTCATGGAAGGCGTCTGGGAGCCCTTCGCCAAAGAAAACGATATCCGGCTTCATTATTCCACTCTCCACCAACCTCCTAAGTGCCCTTGGATCGCATCGGTATATCTCGTCATTGGGATCGACGAAGTGTGGCCCTGCAGGATGACATCGTGTGCACAACGGAATTTTCTGTGAGAGTACAGTGTCCCGAATTTCGTCCGCGGAAGCCTTCTGGCCACAGTTCGTACAACTTGCGGTTGCAAACGAACCGTGACACTCGATGACCCGGTCGATGTTTGCTATTTTTTCAAGTGTATCGATATTTTGCGTGTAATTCCGAAGGAGTTTGCCCTGCTTTTCTAGTAAACGAATAAATCTGAAAAGAAAATATATATTATTAAAGTATATTAGTTAAATGGGCTTCATAACAATTTTTTCGAAAGCCAAGGATCGGCAATTTATTAATTAACTTACTTGTGACAAGGACTAGGCTCGAATATGCCAGGATAAATATCTTTTGCGAATTTAAAGAACGGCCTAGGATCCTGATTGAAGTAATTAATATCAAACATTGATTGTGGATCGACCAGATCAGGGAAATCTTTTGCCAACCGAGAGTATATACCATCTTTAGACCGAAAGTCCGGTATTCCGCAAGAAACAGACACTCCAGCTCCAGTTAAAACAATTACCTTCTTTGCACCTATTAAACAAGTCATTAATATTATAATTAATTATAAATCTTATTATAATTATACCTTTCAGTAACCTAACTACATCTTCTAATGTATTTACATGCCGAAGCTTATTCCTTTGTGGGGGCTCTGCTACCATATTTATTAATAATTTCCACAGCGTGACGTCATCCAGATATGGGGGTATTTGGTCGACATTCGCCCCCAATTCTACAAGTAGCATCCTGGGATCAACCCCATTCTGCATTTGTTTGTGGACCTGTTAAAAAGATTGTTTCTTGAAAATATTAGTTTATTAATTTAAAAATTACAAAGCAAATAGTTCTACCCAGTGTTTAAAGATTTAATAAAATATTTTTTTTCTTATAGTTATTAAAAAAATAATTTACCCAAACCATACTGCCACTTGTGAATTTCCAGTCATGAAGGGAAACATCAGATAAACCACTTAAATCACTAAAGTGACTGATAGTTGAGGCATTGTCATCATCTTCTTGACTCGGATTACAAGATGATAGATTTAGATTGTCTGATTCTGATGCAAATCCTGAAAGAGCGTCGGGGATTTCCGAGTGAGATAGTGGTGAAACTTGATGAGTAGGGGTGGGTAATGATTCCAATGTTGAAGCTTCATAGCCTGAGTCACAATCAGCTAATATACCTATAATAATGTTATGTTTCTGCACTATGAATAAAATAATTAAAAAACATAAAATTCTGTTAACTGTTTATTAATAAGTACAAAAACAAAAAATAAAGAAATTTAGCAAAATTATAATTTAACATATTCATTCATATTTTATGAAGAAAAAATTGAACAGAAATAGATGAAAAGCTCTTTCATTTAATTTACAAGACTATATGAATACTAAATATGTATTACTTAATATATCTTTATTATTTGGAAATTATAACACTAACTCCTTAATCTTTTACCCTTACACCTATGGGTCATCTTGTACATACGTTTTTATTATTAAATTGACAATTTTTATAAAATGAAGAGTAGAAAATCTCTGAAATTTAATCATTGGACCATTCTGATTAAGAAAATTAAAATTTTGCATTTAAGTTTTTATCTGAACTCATTACAAAGTTAGTCTTTAAAGCACCTTGTTACAGTATTTTATTAATTATTTAGCTAGTTAATTACATACGTAATTAACTAAATAAACACTTTAAATACACAAGTTTAAAATTTAATCTAAAGCATAAATAAAACTAAAAATAACTTTTGAAAAATATATTGACAGACAGAATCTCTAGTCTTTTACAAATTCTTACAAAATTTAAAGTTGGTGTACTTAAAACAGATAAAATTCCTTAACTGTTCATTATGTTATCAAACATCAGAATGGAGCAAAAGTTTTTTGAAAATTGCGCTATCTCGAACAGACCTCTATACTCCTACTTAAACCCTTGCAATATAGATGTCTCTTCACAAAAATCGATAAAACGAAAAATTGTTTTTAAGCATTCATTTTTTTCCTGGCAAGAGTTTTATCTTACGGAAAACAGTAAATAAATCGTTTTCAAAATTCCAAATCCCAATATGGCTCAACTTGAAATTTTACGCCAAACTGCCACGCCTACAAAATGTCGAGGGCGCCCTAATACGGCGCCATTTTGTGCGGTTAAAAAGATAATACATTAAACATATTTACCTTCAGAATTTTCAATTGCTCTATCACACGGCACAGTAGTTGCTGAATTAAATTCTTCTTGACACAAAACACTTAAATTTGGTTGCGTTACATCGAGTTTTATTCGTTTACAATGAAATTCCGATTCCTCGTGATCTTGACTGGAATCCATGTTTGATTGGGACAAAGAACAAAACTGTTTCTGTTGTCAAAGTTCATGTGACGTATGTAACTTTCCCCCAGCATGTGACGTATGATGTTTAATAACAAGAAACCGGAAAAAGATGTCGCAGTATCTACAGAACTACCAACATTATTTTTCTAAACAATAAATTATTTAAAATTACATTTACTTTCTTTTTTGATTTATTTAAAGCAAATAAATTCTACATACTCATTTTTAGTTTAATTAAAGGATTGAAACAAATTACGTGCTAGGACGATTATGTTGTAACAAAACAATTCAACAAAC